AGTAAATTAGCCAATTCAAACTTAATGAAATTAGACACACAAAGGAAACAATTGAATATAATTTGGTGAGTCAATTTCAGCGGCAGATTTAGGAAGCATTGATTCTAGAAAAAGAATCCACGGTAAATGAATAGGCTGACGTCACCACAATGGTTTAAATTAAGCAAACTACACATACGTTTAAAATGTCTTTATTTTGAAGCAAACAATGAAAGTTCAAACGTTATTGATAAAAAAAAAACTTGATTTTCAAAAGATTGTCTGAAAAACTTTTAATTTTGTGTTAGTTCATACCATAAATAAATGGGGAATGTGTCCATGGGACACAGATGATGCCCCGCTTGCATATACCGTTATAAAGGAACATAACTCAAGAACTGTAAACGTGACGCTACCCAAATTCGTACTTGATCTGATTTTTGTAGTAATATGCATTGTGTATAAGTTTCATAACATTTGGTTGAGGCAAACTTAAGTTAGAGAACGGAAACAAAAATTAAGCATTTTTTCCATTTGTAAAGGACATAACTGTAAAACGGTAAAAGTGACACCATCAAAATTCAAACTTGATCTGTGTTTTGTGGTAATTAGCATTTTGTAAAAGTATCATATCATTTGGTTGAGGCAAACTTAAGTTAGAGAACGGAAATGAAAAATTCAGCAATTTTTCCATTTGTAAAGGGACACAACTCTAGAAAGGTAAAAAGTGACACCACCAAAATTCAAACTTGATCTGTGTTTATAAGTTTCATAACATTTGGATAAGGCAAACTAAATTTAGAGAACGGAAACCAATTTCGAGACGTACGGACGTACAGACGGATAAGGGTAAAACCTAATGTCCCCTCCGCTACTGCGGGATAACTCTTGTGTTTATACTGTAAATATACTGTGATATACACAATCATCGATGTTGGTAACCGGTGTTCTCTTCGTATGTAATATTTATAGAAAAATGGCAACATAATATGATCACTTGGTTTTATTTTATTGTCATTTTTTTTATATTACTACTCACCAGAATGTTTTCTTACGAACGAAAATGATTGTCCATATGGATCAGTATAATGGAACGACAAAAAAAAGTTATGTCACACTCGCCCCAACTTTCAAAATAATTTGCCCCACTATAACAATGAAAAATCGCTCTCATTTAAAATATATATATTGGAGGTTCGGATGACTTTTCACACGCTCAACGTCACTTTCAAAATATACCCCCTTAAAAAACCGCAGACTCGCAGACTCATGATAGTCTAATATTATATTGGATTGTGAATGAAAATTAAATGTTGCTTCATTTCATGGAACATGATAGGGGATTTGAAAATCTGTAAAAATCATTTACAAAGAAAAGCGTACTTGATGAAGCCATGGAAATCAAGCTGATATTTTTTTTTAAAATAACGGAAAAGAAAGCAATAAATGAATACAGCACTATGATAAATTTCATAAATATGTTATTTGCATTAAATGTCATCGATCTTTGCTAAAAGCTAAGTTAATAAAAACAAAGGTCAAAACAACATTATGATTGTTTATGGTTGAATGTGATACAGTATAGTGAAAGGAATATTCAGTGAATAGTTGCAACTAAGGGTATAACGAGTCAACAACACTACATGAAGAAAGGTAGATAACTCCAGGACAACAAAAAATAACTATCTTTCCTTGCATGAAATGTGAGACTTTAGAAGGTTTGGGACGAATACAGTCATGCGGGAACGGTAGGTTCAAATTCATAAAAGTAACAAAGTGAAACTATTCCGAATCCAATTAACATTATCCCAACATTGACTAAAAATAAAGGATAATAAAATGCTTCGCTGGGCGCAGCTTGATACGACCGCAGAGGTCGAACCCTGAACAGTTGGGGCAAGTATGGACACAACATTCAAGCTTGATACAGCTCTGAATTTGGATTGTGATTAAATATTTGACACAGCATAGGTTTCTGACACAGAAAGAATGTGGTCTAAGAACTTCAATTTTTTTAATTTACCTATTATGGTCCAATGCCCAAAATCAAAATACATGGTTAGATTCAGCATATCAAAGAACCCCATATATTCAATTTTTGTTGAAATCAAACAAAGTTTAATTTTGGACCCCAACTTAGACAAACTTGAAAACTGGTCCCATAATCAAAAATCTAAACACATGTTTAGATTCAGCATATCAAAGTACCAAAAGAATTCAATTTTTGTTAAAATCAAACTAAGTTTAATTTTGGACCCTTTGGACCTTAATGTAGACCAATTTAAAAAACGGGACCCAAAATTAAAAATCTAAAAACACGGTTAGATTTGGCATATCAAAGAACCCCAATAATTCAATTTTTGATGAAATCAAACAAAGTTTAATTTTGGACCCTTTTGACCTCAATATGAACCAATTTGATAGCGGGCCCACAAAATAAAAAATCTAAATACATGGTAAGATTCAGCATATCAAAGAACCCCATATATTCAATTTTTGTTGAAATCAAACAAAGTTTAATTTTGGACCCCAATTTGGACCAACTTGAAAACTGGGCCAAAAATCTAAAATCTAAATACATGTTTAGATTCAGCATATCAAAGAACCCCATATATTCAATTTTTGTTGAAATCAAACAAAGTTTAATTTTGGACCCCAACTTGGACCAACTTGAAAACTGGTCCCATAATCAAAAATCTAAACACATGTTTAGATTCAGGATATCAAAGAACCCCAAAAATTCAATTTTTGTTAAAATCAAACTAAGTTTAATTTTGGACCCTTTGGACCTTAATGTAGACCAATTTAAAAAACGGGACCCAAAATTAAAAATCTAAATACACGGTTAGATTTGGCATATCAAAGAACCCCAATAATTAAATTTTTGATGAAATCAAACAAAGTTTAATTTTGGACCTTTTTGACCTCAATATGAACCAATTTGATAGCGGGCCCACAAATAAAAAATATAAATACATGGTAAGATTCAGCATATCAAAGAACCCCATATATTCAATTTTTGTTGAAATCAAACAAAGTTTAATTTTGGACCCCAATTTGGACCAACTTGAAAACTGGGCCAAAAATCTAAAATCTAAATACATGTTTAGATTCAGCATATCAAAGAACCCCATATATTCAATTTTTGTTGAAATCAAACAAAGTTTAATTTTGGACCCCAACTTGAAAACTAGGCCCATAATCAAAAATCTAAACACATGTTTAGATTCAGCATATCAAACCCCAAGAATTCAATTTTTGTTAAAATCAAACTAAGTTTAATTTTGGACCCTTTGGACCTTAATGTAGAACAATTTAAAAACGGGACCCAAAATTAAAAATCTAAATACACGGTTAGATTTGGCATATCAAAGAACCCCAATAATTCAATTTTTGATGAAATCAAACAAAGTTTAATTTTGGACCCTTTTGACCTCAATGTGGACAAAGTTGATAATGGGGCCCAAAAATCAAAAATCTAAATGCATGGTTAGATTCAGCATATCAAAGAACCCCATATATTCAATTTTTGTTGAAATCAAACAAAGTTTAATTTTGGACCCCGATTTGGACCAACTTGAAAACTGGGCCCATAATCAAAAATCTAAATACATGTTTAGATTCAGCATATCAAAGAACCCTAAAAATTCAATTTTTGTTAAAATCAAACTTAGTTTAATTTTGGACCCTTTTGACCTTAATGTAGACCAATTTGAAAACGGAACCAAAAATTAAGAATCTAAATACACGGTTAGATTCGGCATATCAAAGAACCCCAATAATTCAATTTTTGATGAAATCAAACAAAGTTAAATTTTGGACCCTTTGGACCTCAATGTGGACCAATTTAAAAACGGGGCCCAAAATCCAAAAACTTAATACTTGGTTAGATTCAGCATATTAAAGAACCCCAAGAATTCAAGAATAAAACCCCATTGAAATTGATCCAAGAAATAAGCAATTTATACGAAGTATCTTCTTTTGCACAATACTGTGCAATTGAATATTTCTTGCTATTGTGCAATACTGTACAATTGACAATTTCTTGCTATTGCGCAATATTGTGCTATTGGATATTTCTTGCTATTGCGCAATACTGTGCAATTGAAGATTTCTTGCTATTGCGCAATACTGTGCAATTGAAGATTTCTTTCAATTGTGCAATACTGTGCAATTGAAAATTTCTTGCTATTGCACAATACTTATTATATAATAATTTACACATCCTGTTTGGTGTGTATCTCCTACCATATCATTATTATTTGCTTTTAAATATTAATCAGAAATAACCAACTTAAAATGGAAAATTTAAAAAAAAAAAAGAAAAGGAAAAAAAGAAAAAAAAAGAAAAAAAAATCCCCCCCCCCCAAATTTTTTGAACCCCCTTATGATTCATCACCCCCAAACTCAATCCCAGCCTTCCCTTTTTGGTATGGTACCTTGCAGTACAATGTCAGAGAGATCCATACACTTACACACAAGTTATTGTCTGGAAGTTACAAAAATGCTTATTTTTGGCCCCTTTTTGGCCCCTAATTCCTTAACTGTTGGTACCATAACCCCCAAAATCAATCCCAACCTTCCTTTCGTGGTATTGAACCTTATGGTAAAATTTCATGGAGATCCATTCACTTAAACTAAAGTTAGAGTGCGAAAACCAATGTGTCTTCGGACGACGCCGGACGACGTCAGACGACGACGACGACGACGACGACGACGACGACGACGACGACGCCAACGTCATACCAATATACGACCAAAAAATTTTTGAATTTTTGCGGTCGTATAAAAAGATATAAAATTACTCAACCTGCAAACCAGAAGATACCTTATGCACCAAAAGCTAATTCAATTAAAACTTGCCGTGTTGTTTTTGTGTGCACAAGAATAATAGTTAAAACAGCATCACAATAATCTTTTGTTAACAATCTTAGTAAGATAACTTTGTGCAAAACGTTTTCTTTAAATCAGCTGTACACAGATTTTTAAATGAACTTCATGAAATGAAATTCAAGAAAATCTTATGTTATATTTGCCTTATGTATAAAGGTAATTTAATCTTGTTTAATCAATACTTTGCACAAAAGTCAGATTTTTTTTTAATGTTACATTTCTTCCTCTTCCTCTTCCTCTCCCTCGTCAAAGTCCTGTTCTTCTGAAGTTGCATCCTGATACTGTTGGTATTCAGAAACCAAGTCGTTCATATTCGACTCCGCCTCTGTAAATTCCATCTCATCCATCCCTTCACCAGTATACCAATGAAGAAAAGCTTTACGGCGAAACATAGCTGTAAACTGCTCAGAGATTCGCTTGAATATTTCTTGAATTGCTGTACTGTTACCTATAAAAGTGGCCGACATTTTCAAGCCTCTTGGTGGAATGTCACAAACAGCCGTTTTGACATTATTAGGAATCCATTCTACAAAATATGAACTGTTTTTGTTTTGGATATTTAGCATTTGCTCGTCAACCTCTTTCATTGACATTCTTCCTCTAAAAATACAAGCAACGGTCAAATATCTTCCATGGCGAGGGTCACACGCCGTCATCATGTTCTTAGCATCAAACATCTGTTGTGTCAGTTCCGGTACAGAAAGTGCACGATACTGTTGACTACCACGTGATGTTAACGGTACAAATCCTGGCATGAAGAAATGGAGACGAGGAAATGGAACCATGTTGACGGCTAGTTTCCTCAAATCTGCATTCAGTTGTCCGGGAAATCTAAGACATGTTGTTATGCCTGACATTGCAGCGGAAACAAGGTGATTCAAATCTCCATATGTGGGTGTGGTCAACTTCAATGTTCTGAAACAGATGTCGTAGAGAGCTTCATTGTCGATGCAGAAAGTCTCGTCTGTGTTTTCAACAAGCTGATGAACAGATAAGGTTGCATTGTATGGCTCAACAACGGTGTCTGAAACCTTGTAATAGAAATAATGTTACAGAATTTATTAAGTGCTTAAAATTGATCATCATGAAAATATTGAATCAATAAACATTTTAAGACATACCCATTAATGCTTATACGTACTTACAAAAGATCCCGGGTGCAGAAAGGAATGAAACAGAGTATGTCATGCCATGCACATTGAAAGTCAGTAATTATCTTGATGTGCCTGTCTTAAGTAAGGAACCAAGGGTCAGTGGTTGTCTTTTGTCATGATTTACCCCAATAATTTTGTCATTTTAAGATTATGGAGTTCATAAAAGAGTTTTTATTATAGTCTCTGTTAGATTAATTCTTTTTTTCGGACAATTGAAAGCATAACGTATGTAATTTAAAACCTCTAAATGTCTCTTGGCTTCTTGTACATTTTTGGATAAGTACTCAAAATCAAAATCTGTCATACATGGTGTTTTGGGCTATATTAAAAAACAAAATTGAAGCACTACTTTTGAAAGTTTGAACAGGGATTCCCATGGGCATGTCTTACCCACCATATCTTGATGGCACATGCTCAATAGCACAGCAGCGTTTCCATGCATGTAAATTATTACTTTAAATCGTTACTTTACAAATGTTTAATTCAAAGCAATTGTTGGAAAGTCTACCTCCAAGTATTGAAGGGGATATGCATGTGCCTTTGTTAAAAGTACTTTTGTAGATCTTATTCTTTTATAAATGAATGTAAATGAAGCATAATATGATAATATATATACAAATAATCAACAGTTAACATAGTATAATTTGGGATAACTCAGATTGAGTTGTCTCCCTTTGTACATGTTGGGTATCAACACGGTTATTAAAACTACTTCCACAAGCATAAGATACTGATAAAATACGTTAATTCGATATATCATATAGAGAGTAATAATTAATAAATATTGATTTACATTGGATTTATATGCAAGTGTACTAAATCTGAGATTATCGTATAGTCTCCAATTTAATCAAAATTCAATCTATCTGTCTCACTTCACCATTTTTTTTATTCAATTTAAGGACAACAGACACGAGAACATGTACTTTAATAGGTGAATTAAACACATAAAACATATATATTTTTACCTTTGGAGATGGCATTACGGAGAATGTGATCATAATCCTGTCTGGGTATTCTTCCCGGACTTTATTGATCAACAGTGTTCCCATGCCAGATCCTGTTCCTCCACCCAGAGAATGTGTCAACTGGAAACCTTGTAGGCAGTCGCATGTTTCCACCTCTCTTCTGACTACATCCACAACATTATCTACCAGTTCGGCTCCTTCCGTGTAGTGACCTTTGGCCCAGTTATTTCCGGCACCAGACTGACCAAATACGAAGTTGTCCGGTCTAAATAGTTGCCCAAAAGGACCCGACCGCACAGAGTCCATGGTACCAGGTTCCAAATCAACAAGAACTGCTCTAGGAACATATCTGTTTCCTAAAATTTTATGAAAAAATGCAAGACTTAGTTTAAAGGTTCTATCTTGTTGGTGACACGGGACATATTTTCGATGTTATTAACTATATTTTCAATTTTTTAACTTCATTTATTCGTTTAACTGCAGTTGTTCGAAAATAAAAAAAAATATTCATTAGATATTAATCTTGGCAAAAATGGTATATTAGTTAATATAATATGTTTATACATTCTAGGTACAATAATGTCTACTAAAGAATTAATATCATACAAGGTACCTATAGGACACAGAGGCATGATGATGTATTTATTGTGGAAGGAAGAGAAGCGACACACAAAATGAGGTCTTCTCGTTTAATAGTATAGATGAGGTATACCTAGCAGACTTGAATATGATAGTGTTCATGTAACACAATTTGTTTACCTAATCATTTTCTCTCCTTTAATGTTTTTTTTATCATTGTAGATTCCAATAGATAGATGCATTATATACAGAATAAGTCCAAGGTCTACATTGTGAAATTACCACTGAGTGGAAAGTTTTATTAACGTTAACATACACAGCTATACCTCCTTTTCACTTGTATAATATAATTTATTTATCTTTAATTTAATTGATTTCAAATCTAGGGCTAATGACTTGAAGCCAAACAGATATGATCAATGTAAAAACGTCTAACATCATGGTGGCTTCAACATGGTAAAATCTGACCTGCGACCTTGGGTAGTTTGGCAAGCGGCGTGACATCTCATCTAAAATGACCCGTGACCTTACAAAAATGTTGCATTATCATTGTCCAGTACATGTCCGTGTCATAATAGTTACTTAAAAGTGACCTCGTGACCTGAGACAATTTTTAACGTTGACCTTGTGACCTAAAGGGTTGCCCTCCTGGAGCCCCATCATGAACACCTCACATACCACTTGCTTCGCTGAAGTAAACACTAATTCTCTCAAGTTGTAGATCAGAGTCGCCATGATATTCTCCAGTTGCATCTATGCCATGCTCGTCTGAAATGACTTCCCAGAACTATAGAGAAAAATATTAAATAAATTGTGAAGCTTATTTATTGACCGGTTAGGTTAGGTTCCACACACACACAAAGGATGAATGTTCGATGCCATAGCCACTGAAAAATATATTATAGTGACACAATTTCCTAATATTCGTGAATGCGCATCATACTAATTGTATGGCAAACCTTTAGAATAATAAGACAAATAATACGTACCACACACATCCATTTACAAAATACCTGGCTATGTTGTCCAGTACTGTTTTTATACTCATACTTGAAATGGTTCTGATTGGCCAGTCATGGTATTCATGTGCAAGTCTAACTCATTCTTACATGTATTTGTTTGAATAAGAGTTAGATTCAACCAATGCAACTTGTACAAGTAATATCAAGCTTACTATTATAGACCTTTTAGATCTGTGTTTTTAAAATCAGCCAACTTTTTTTATATATCTTTTGAATTTAATTCTTCAATAATTCAGCCCTGAATTGCTATTGTTGTTCCATTCAGAATAAAATGCTCCGCAGGGCGCAGCTTGATACGACCGCAGAGGTCTAACCCTGAACAGTTGGGGCAAGTATGGACACAACATTCAAGCTTGATACAGCTCTGAATATTGGATTGTGATTAAATATTTGACACAGCATAGGTTTCTGACACAGAATGAATGTGGTCTAAGAACTTAAAAATTTTAAATTGGACATTCACCTATTATGGTCCAATATCCAAAATCTAAATACATGGTTAGATTCAGCATATCAATGAACCCCAAGAATTCAATTTTTGATGAAATCAAACAAAGTTTAATTTTGGACCCTTTTGACCTCAATGTGGACAAAGTTGATAACGGGGCCCAAAAATCAAAAATCTAAATACATGGTTAGATTCAGCATATCAAAGAACCCCATATATTCAATTTTTGTTGAAATCAAACAAAGTTTAATTTTGGACCCCGATTTGGACCAACTTGAAAACTGGGCCCATAATCAAAAATCTAAATACATGTTTAGATTCAGCATATCAAAGAACCCTAAAAATTCAATTTTTGTTAAAATCAAACTAAGTTTAATTTTGGACCCTTTGGACCTTAATGTAGACCAATTTGAAAACAGAACCAAAAATTAAGAATCTAAATACACGGTAAGATTTGGCATATCAAAGAACCCCAATAATTCAATTTTTGATGAAATCAAACAAAGTTAAATTTTGGACCCTTTGGACCTCAATGTGGACCAATTTAAAAACGGGGCCCAAAATCCAAAAACTGAATACACGGTTAGATTCAGCATATTAAAGAACCCCAAGAACTCAAGAATAAAACCCCATTGAAATTGATCAAGAAATAAGCAATTTATACGAAGTATCTTCTTTTGCACAATACTGTGCAATTAAATATTTCTTGATATTGCGCAATACTGTACAATTGACAATTTCTTGCTATTGCGCAATATTGTGCTATTGAAGATTTCTTGCTATTGCGCAATACTGTGCAATTGAAGATTTCTTGTTATTGTGCAATACTGTGCAATTGAAAATTTCTTGCTATTGCACAATACTTATTATTTAATAATTTACACATCCTGTTTGGTGTGTATCTCCTACCATATCATTATTATTTGCTTTTAAATATAAATCAGAAATAACCAACTTAAAATGGAAAATTTTAAAAAAAAAAAAGAAAAAAAGAAAAAAAAAAAGAAAAAAAAAAAAAAATCCCCCCCCCCAAATTTTTTGAACCCCCTTATGATTCATCACCCCCAAACTCAATCCCAGCCTTCCCTTTGTAGTATGGTACCTTGCAGTACAATTTCAGAGAGATCCATACACTTGAACACAAGTTATTGTCTGGAAACTAGAAAAATGTGTTTTTTGGCCCCTTTTTGGCCCCCAATTCCTAAACGTTTCGGGCAATTACCCCCAAACTCAATTCCAGCTTACCCTTTGTGATATGGAACCTTGTAGTACAATTTCAGAAATATCCAAACACTTACACACAAGTTATTGTCATGAAACTAGAAAAATGCTTGTTTTTTGCCCCTTTTTTGGCCCCTCATTCCAAAAATTTTGAGGCAATTACCCCCAAAATCAATTACAGCCTTCCCTTTGTGATATGGAACCTTGTGGTACAATGTCAGAGAGATCCATACACTTACACACAAGTTATTGTCTGGAAGTTACAAAAATGCTTATTTTTGGCCCCTTTTTGGCCCCTAATTCCTTAACTGTTGGTACCATAACCCCCAAAATCAATCCCAACCTTCCTTTCGTGGTATTGAACCTTATGGTAAAATTTCATGGAGATCCATTCACTTAAACTTAAGTTAGAGTGCGAAAACCAATGTGTCTTCGGACGACGCCGGACGACGCCAGACAACGACGACGACGACGACGACGACGACGACGCCAACGTCATACCAATATACGACCAAAAAAATTTTAATTTTTGCGGTCGTATAAAAATTAAAGGTCCAAATGCCTAAAAATTCACGTCATATATTGAGTACCTAGTTAAATAAGCCAGGAATGCTTATCAAAACGTCAATACTTCAATAATCAATTTCTTTCGTTGACAAATAAGAAAATTTATCAATGAGAAAGAGGATAAATCCTATTAATTTGATTCTAAATTCGACAAGCCAGATTGATAATGAATTGCACATATATATTTCCTGACTGTTGTATGTCCTGTATTCACATTCTTTGTAATACTTTGAACACAAAATCACAAAACAACAAAAGAACTTATTTTGGATTGAAATGAAAAAGCTGGCAAAAATCAAGTATTATTTTTTACTATCTAAAAACAGATGTATTTCAATAGATGCTGCTTTCATGTTACCGTGTCTACAGCATTCGACAGGCCATCCCTGCCAGTAAATTTTACCAAACAAACAGGGAAATTGTTCAGTATTAACAATAGAACGTTAGTTGAACATTCTATGTTTCAGTTATACAATTTATTTTATTAAAAATAGTCTGATTTTCTTGTACAGGTTTACGCTTGGTACTTAAGGTATAGTGGCCACGACGGTTACTTTATTTGCTACAATATTAGTCGCCAGATATGTAGGAAAACGCCAGTCTAATCAAAACGTCGTGAAATAGCTGGTCCATAAAGTACGGCGGTAAGCGCGTGCATGGTGAAGGTAAATTGTCTCATAAAATTAACATTTAATTCTTTCAAAACAAAAAAGACTTGATTTAATGCGCTCATAATCATGTTCACGTAACAATGTCATGTATAATTCAGAAAGAGAAACTACATTATTTTTCAAAAAAAGACTCTACGATGTTACATTCGGCACACCTCGGAGGCGGAATCTGCCGAGGTTTGCCGACTGTACGATGTTATCATGATGGTTGTATGGTGTATGTACACTGCTCGGAACTGTATCATCTGCAACATTGTTATGTCAATGTTTTCATCCTCTTCATCAGTTAGTGGGTCGATTGGGAAAAAAGGTTCTTCTTACCACTGTCGCAATCTTCTTTTTCAGCCGGTTTCACTCGTTTGCTTTTAGCCGCTTTTTAGCCGGTAACGTGATATGGTTAACACGGCTTATTCCGAAGCTCGAACAAATGAAGCAGACCTAAAAACAAAAACAAAAAACAAACTAGACAAAGATGATGCCCCCGCCGCATGCATGAATACAATTTTGAAAATATTTGAATTTGCAAACATTGATGTTGAAGTACATATTTGAAATGGCTGCATCTGTCCAAAGTTTAGGAAAATGAATTTTTTGCTGTTCCATTAAAGTTTTGCAAATTTAACAACTGTGATATGAACGGGGGACTATCATAAGTTATTTTTGCCCATTATTCTGCTTTTTTTGCCCATAAATTCTGCACGTTTTGCCTATCATTCTCTTTTCTGTAAACCTCATCCAAACCCTCTATTATTGTAGTATCTTTATTATGTTATGTTCAAAATTATATAAATTTTTTTAAGATGACATAAGGATCTTTGTCTTTAGGCTGAACAATTGAGATATGTGCACTCTCGTGAATGAATTCAATTTTTCTGTTATCAGCAAATTAATTAAATATCCAAATATTTAAATAACCACCCCGTCCCAAGTTGTATGATCTTCAGTTTGATAACACAAATACTGTAATTTTTTACCTTCCAATATTGAAATAGCAGTGGTTTACATTGAAACATAATTTTCGTCTTAATATTTTTAGCCTGGTGCAAAATCAGAAATTTCAGCATTGTGGTTCTTTGGTTAATAAAATCAAAATTAAGTATATATTTTAGTGTGCAGTCAAGAGTTTCCAGTATTAAAATTAAATATATTATATCTATGATAAGTTTTTTTTTTTCCATTCCTGCATGTGCAAATTTAGTTTCAGATTTTTTTTCGTGTCCCCATATACATAAATTCAAATTCAATTTTTTTGTTGGACTATAATCATGATAATAAAACATTTGATTTAAGCAAGGTTAACCATGGTTTGGTATGGCATGTTTAAGTTTTAAAATGTCACTCAAATTTTTGATGATACATCATTGATTCGGATGTTTTAACAGATGTTGTCATTTTTGTCAATATCATCTATACATAAAATATAATCTTTTATCCATTTATGGAAATACAATTTGTCAGTTTTCCCAAATCAGACATTTTAGATTTATGTAATTTTCATCATCGCTATGTATGTACATGAGCATTATCCTGTACAATTTATTATACACAAAATAAACAAAGGTCTTACTGTTCTACTTTCTGTTTGTAGGACCTTTCGGTGTCCTCTGGTATTGTCGTAATGATAACCTTATTTTTCACCCCATCCACCGGGACAACACACACACATACACACACGACACATATAATTATATATTTTGCAATCTCATTATTACTGCTGTGTATGAACGGTGATAGTATTACACTTTAATATAAAAATGTACGAAGTTGAAATTCTTTTCAGATCCCGCCAAGTTTATGTGCCATTTGCTTAATTCAAAACATTCACTCAGTTTGTCCTACCCAAGAGTTGTTTCCCTTTCAAAACATTATATAATTGGAAATAAAAGAAAGAAACAAACAAACAAAACGAAGGCGGTAATTGACAAAGTATCATATTATTTGTTTTATAATATTGTATAATTCTGTTTTTTCACATTATTTAAGGAAAAAAACACAAACATTACTACACATTAACCATGTTAACTGAACATTCAAGTGTATACCATGTATACAATTGAAAGCTAATTTTCACTGATTGTTATGGTACCTTTGGTTATTGTGGGGTGCGTTCATGAGCTTATCTATAGGTGTTGTATAAATAGTTGGACATTTGTTTGTTCAAATGTCCGGGATACCAACACTAGTCATCTCCTTTAATCAAAATTGAGTTAGTTGATTCGGGTTGTCATCTATCTTCTTGTGTAGTTTTAATGCTTCTTTTTTGTTTGTCAGTTTTATTTTTCATTGTTTTTGGAGGAACACTCATCTAACTGCTTTGTTCATATTATCACTGGATATAAGTTTGCACTACCATGCAAGTGACTTCATCGATTTATAAATTGGCTAGGTTTTCAATACGGATTAAGACATTCATTGATTCGTCTGTGTCTGTGACGATAATGACTGACTCGTCTTGGGAATAATCATTCATGTGAAGTTTGGTAATTCCGCTAGTTTGTGTCCAGAGGATTTACAAACTAGACAAACCCAAATATTTTGTTTTATAATCTCTGAGCTTAATTTTACTATATTTTAATTTGCAAACACTTATTACGCGTGCTATCAATTGAGGAAATTTCAGTTTTCTAGTTTAATAATACGGCTACATTGTACTTATATGACGATTATTAACTTTATAGGCTGATGATTTTATCCGTGAGGTCACATAAAAGTATCAGATCCTTTAACCTTAAGGCTTTCTTGCAATAAGTTGGCATATCGTCAACAAGGAACCAATCTCTGCATATATTATGAACCAAATACCCATGCAATTTTCCTCTCATTATCTGACGGTAGTCTATACACTTCCTTCTGTGTAGCAGGTAATATAAACGCCACATCTATTCATTGTTCTCTTGACAGGACGAAGGTCGCTATACTACTAAACGTGGGCTTTAAACGGCCTTGACTACTTAAGAGGTTATATGTATATATATATATATATATACGTTGTTGTTGTTCGAATTATTTTTTCTCTCTCTGAAGTATATCCGGGTACTCGTGAATGGAAAGAGTGGTTAACTATGAATATTGAACAGGAAAACGGGAAAATAGATCTCTTAATAGCAATTTCCTAACTAGATACATGTACATGTATAATACCTTTGGTGTATATCTCTGCCCTTTGAATAGTTTAACCCCGTCAGGTATTCATGTGTTTGTATAAAGTTTGTAACTTCGTCTTCAAATATCTTTAGTTATTTATTTATATTTTGTCCTTAAGGGAATTCAATATTTATGAAAGATCTTTGATGATAACTATATTCACACACGTAAGAGCTTCACATATTGCATAGACACTTTTCTATTGCCAAATATCCTAAAAGTTGGCCTCTTAAAGTCATTTGTTTTTTTGTGTCGTTAAGTTGCTGACTCATTGAGCTATTTACTTATGTCAAAAATATAAGCTAAGAAGTTGCACTCGTTGTCGTACCAACTTGTAATTCAAAGTATCGGAAAACAAGAAGTCTAGGTATCTGAAAGATCCAAATGCGCTTTCAGGTTACAACTTACAACTTTCAAGCTGATTACCAGTTTATGAAATCATTTTATTTAGCAGTATAATCTATTGGAGAAGAGTGTGACGAAAATATGAAGTTCGTCAATTAGATACATTCAAAAATTAAAAGTATCGGCAAATATATATATAGGAATCAAATGTATGACAGATCCGAAAAGAGTTCAAACCTTACAACAAGTCACTGTCAACCTGCAAATCAAATATGAAGTCTTTCTGTTCAGTAAGTAATACACGAGAAAAATTTGATGAAATTATGTGTTGAACGTATAATACACGGTTGGACGAGGTGACTTCAACACAGAGCCCCCACTTGTACGTAGAGTGGGAGTTTATTTAAAGCGTTCCGCATTTCCTATATCGTTGGTCTACTGAAACAGGTGAAATATACAAGAAATACACTAACATATATACATTTTTTGTCTTTAGTCAGTCAGTTGTATTTTAGCTTGCTGTCTCATTGGGGTTTATCAAACATCTTATGTTTCCTCGAACAATGTTATTGTCAATCCAATAAAACGTGTCAATCGTATTCAGCATAGCAATTCTGGCTTTATTTTCTTAACATTTCTACATATTTCACATTATTATTATTGTATTATTATTATCATGATTATCAATATCATGGTGTCAAAATAGCATTCTTGTATAATTGAAGTTCGGATCCAGGGGGGGGGGGGGTCCGGGGGGGGGTCCGGGGGTGGAACCCTTCTTTTTTTGACGATTAATGCATTTGAATGGGAACATATAGTATGAACCCCCCTTTTATCCTGGGTTAGGAACTCCCCTTTTATAAATGGCTGGATCCCCCCCCCCCTTTTGCACCTTACACCTACACATTTATGTTATGTGTTAATGTACTCATATAAAAATATTGCTAATATGACATTAGGGATTGCATTACACTTTGTGCAAGCTTCACCCCGAAAATAACAATAGAAGATCATTTTATTTATGTGATTATTACAGATGTATATGAACATAACCAGACTGTACTCTAGCCTGATCTTACAGATCAATAATTGAACGAGTTGTAATGTCTGTTGCATGTATTGATCACAAATGCTTTGACAAGTTGGATGACACATGATTAAATCCTTATATTTAAAATCGAAATGTTAATATGCAGCGCAAGATGTTACAGTACTTTTGAAATCCTTTAATTTTGTACAAAATTACACATTTTACGAGTTTTTGTAAAATTTTGCATCGAAGGACTCGAAGGACGTCTCTATTAAATCAAAATGAATTACTATCGTATGGATACGAGAAAAAAAACATCAAATAAGTTAAAATATTAAAGAATAGGAAGAGGAAAAAAGGGGGGGTTCATGACCCAAGCGCCCAAAAAGCGGCGAAAAAGTGCATTCCCCATTAAATTGCCATGTCTCGACAACTTGTCCACAGAATTTGTTCTAAAATAAATTATTGCTATGAATATCTCCGTTTTTATTCAAAACAATACAAATATTGTATTGTCATACAAATCGTAAAAGATTTGTGACATAATGAACTAGTTTATATGAAAATAAAAGGGGGGTCACCAGATTTTTGTTGTAGTGTAAATCTTTCAAAAATTAAGTCTCACGTTTTTCACGATAAATATAGTTTTTTATTATAGAATCATTTAAAATTTGTTTGTCTCGCTCCCCCCTCCTTTTAAAAAATCATAGATCCGCCTCTGAAAACCCAAAATACACCCCCCCTCCCGAATATCAAATCGTTGTCCACTAAATAATGGTCAGATACAGGATAAGTGTTCAATATATGTTGAGCCATGGACAGTAACAATTGACAATAAAATCAATGTTAAAGCATGCTACAATCCAGACTTAATTAATCGATCAAATCGGTAGTCGAACACAAATCGATCATATTTGATCAGAACTCGATTGATGATATATACTGTGACTTATCGATCATTAATCAATGAATAAACTCACAAAATATTAGAACTAATAAGTTTTACATGGATTGTCGTTTAATTTGCATGCTAAAACTATCCCTTTATTTATAAAATCATCTTATCTGGAAAAAAAACATGTTATTCACTAAATTATTGTATTCGTATAAAACAATAATCATCTGATTCAATAATATCGGCCCTTTCTCTGCTTGCCCTAGTTGTAACCAGTTGGATGTGATGATTAATGTATATTATTTATACAAACCATTGTCAAGGTTATTGAGATTGTAAACATCATCTACGTATTACAAGTATATCGGCCATTTTATTCATAATATTAAGAAAACATGTGCCCGCCCTTTGTTGTAAAATTAAATAATCGGGAGCGATGCTACCAAGTGAATCAGAAGTCACTTGAATGTTTTAAAATCATTCCCGGCAAATTCTACACAAATCTTTGCAACGTAAATGTATGATTTAAAAAAAAAAATGTCCCGGTTAATCCTTTTCACATTGTACGAATTTCAACGGATTGATTTGGACAGAAAATTACTATCATTAAACTTATTAAATTACAAAAATAATTACCTTGGAACCGATTTGATTACCACACTGCCCTGCTTGTATATGAACTATTTCCCTCATTTTGAATGTGCTACTTCTATTGATAACGAATTTCCACTTCTAATAAATATGTGATGACGAATTTCTACTGCAACGGCTGTCTGTACGCAAGTTCAAGGGTGATTAACAGATAAAGTAAAAATAAAAGCACATTTGCTATTCTTAGATCTTGGACAATTTAAGGATGAAACACTTGACATTTGATATCCGGAACATTAAGTATGTCAATCACTTTCACAAATATCTACACAATTATCATTGGAGCAATTTGTATAAAGGACAAAACAAAATTTGTGTAAAATTATTCAATAAAATATTAGGGGTGGGGTGTCGAAACAATTTTTTTTATGGGGTTCTGTTTTTAAAGATTCCGCAGAAAGGCACCAAAGCAAAAAATTACATTTATATAAATAGCCTTCAACATGTAAAAAGGCTATTTAATTACTTTGATCCCAGGTTGATAAGCTATATGCTTTGACTAGGGACGGATAGAAAACTTCCTATTAATGTGACGGGTAGGGTGAACATTTTGACAAAAACCAAATTATTCACTTTTAAAAAAACACTTAAATCAATAATTTTCCAACATTTTGAGAATATGTGGCAAAACCAAATGAAGGACTTTTCTGAAAGAAAATTGTCAACATATTGCAAGTTTAATGTATTTTTAGTATTGAAAAATATTTAACCGTAAAATGATTTGAGCAAAGGCGACATATATATATTACTCAATTTCGTATACCTGCACATAGTTTGCATATTGAACGAGAAAGGTATCAGGGTACTCTCCGACAAAATAGATTTGTCTCGGGTACACTTCAGGTGAAAAAGAGAACGAAGAGCACTTAAATTTTTGTTCTGGTGTACTTCCAATAATAATAAGATAAACAATATATCTATAACCCATGGGTACTACTTTTATGGATAAATTATGTGTTGGATTTTAAAATAATTCTTCATATAACAATTAACTTTATGTATCTTAGTAAATCTAGTACACTGAAATGGTTACGTAATTGTGAAGACACTGCTATATTATCTTGCTTGAGCGACCTCATCTCTAGCTGTAAATAGAGTCTATTTTGTAGCTAGCTTCCAGGGCTAAACACGCGTCAGACATGCTGCTGACAATATTATTCCTACCAAATTTAATCCTTTTAATATATTTGTTTTTCATTATAATCATCGTGTAGCTTTCCCTGTTGCGTGTAAACACCAGTTGGTTCTTAGTGCATTTTACACTATTACAAAATAAGATGTATGCAGCTTTTCAATTTTTTTAGTGTAAATTTATATTACACTTTATTGAACATCATACATATTATAATGCTTGGCTGGGTGCATACCATATAATTAAGTTAGTGTTCAAAGGGAAATAACCTACATACTTTTATCACAACTCTAATTTTGATATTGAAAATTGTAAAAAAAAGTATTTTTCTAATATTTACTATATGTACTGTTTGAGTTCAATAATATATGTACTGTCGTGTTTGTTTTTAACCCTCAATGGGCCTTTATTATTTTTAATGAAAGTGCTGTATTGCATAAGATATTGTTACAGAATGCACAGGTGTGTCGACTTGTGACTTTCGATATTTTATTGTAGGTTTTTAATGTTAGTATCATAACAACATAATCTGAAAATAGAAATAGTCTTTGAAAATAAGAGAAGGGTCGAATAAGGCATAGATGGCTTACGTCTATTACAATGTATAGATGGTTAATTTGCAAAAATTAGTTAATTTTTTTACGTATATAGCTTTTTTGATATACAAAAGTTTGAATGGAATTTGCACCTCGAGGATAAAAATCAATGAAAATAGTCGCCCAACTTTGTCTTTTAATAAAAATACGAATTTGGATTCGACCCCGACTGCATGAGTCAATCTAAAGATTAATTAAAAAAAAAAGATATGTGTTGCTTATCCTCCAAGCACGCGGCATTTCGGTTGAAGAGAAAAACTTTTCGAAACTGGATAATGTGTCCGGGCAAAGTTACACGTCTTCCTGTAGACTGTTTTGAGCTAACACGTTAAATATCCAGCTGAGCGTGTTAGTATAGTACAAAACAGGGTATCTTTCATACCTAATCAACATGTTGATGAATCATGTATATGCATGTTATACTTGTCAATGGATGTTAAGCTACCATCAATTGCAACTAACCACAATCGAAGTTATCTACAGGATATTTAACTTAATGTTCTCGTCGAGCCTCGCATTCCGTCCTGTTTCTTAATCTTGTTCAACTAATTATATACAAGTTTTCTATTTTCCAACAATGTACATATATATATTATATTTAAGCTTTTGAAGGCGAACAACTAGTGTAGTCTCCCTGGTTTATGGAGTTTTTACAGTGAAATGAAAGTTTCGATTTATGATTAGACATATATAGTCCGAAATCGAATTATAGTATGGTGAGCGGTCGTTCGGGGAAATTTTGATAATATAAATATGTAATAACTGTATCGCCATATTTTTTCTTTATTTGTTTACAATATGTCAATTGATTTTTAATTACTAGTAATGTGACCAGGAAGTAAAGAAACGCCACTGTGTTTCAATAGCTCATAAGGTTATAAGGTTATTACAACCAATCATTAAATTTTATGGGCGCAGCCATTTTATGCATGGTATTCCGAATTAAGAGTATGGCTCATTCTGATTGGTCGATGTGTGCAGCCCGTATTTTTTTATTACTATAACTATAGACACTTCGTGCACTCTGCATTATACCAAAGGCAAAATAATTAATATATTTTATTTGGCCCTAACGGAACTGAGAAGTCTTTTCTACGCTGTGATGAGACACGTGTTTTTGAGTGCGAAATCGATAGGCAAGGGAAATAAGTACAAATAACGTTAAGAAAGGAAACGGAAACCTTTATTTTTTTACTAAAAAATATTCTTATTAATGTTTTTAAGAATTCATTATACGATCTGTATTAAAGTTGGACCAACTGACATATTCTTCAGAACTCTTAGTGGATGTATATAACATGATGTATATATGACAGAGGGTCGCACGTTTTCATGCAAATAAAGAAAAAACCATGAAGCTATAAATGCTATTATTTTTCTCAAAATGAACAACGTTCAAAGTATTTAAATGTTTCAGAGTTTATTTGTCAATTACAATGAATCCACCATAACTGCTTTATCAGTAATCAGAACCAGATCTTTCGGGCAAAATCATCCCAAATACCACTATTACCGCCATGTCATTCATTACCCCAAACGCCAATGCCACCGCCACTCATCGCCTTGCCCTTCAATACCACCATGGTCTCCATTACCGCCAGCATTACCCCCATCTCCACCATTACCGCCTTGTCCTCCATTACCGCCATTACCACTACCGCCACCATTACCCCCATGGCCACAATTACCCCCACTTCCACCCCGACCACCACCATTGCCGCCTTGTCCTCCATTGCCACCATTACCACCACTGCCACCATTACCCCCATGGCCTCCATTACCACCACCGCCACCATTACCGCCATGTCCTCCATTATCCTCACGGCCAACATTAAGAGGTACGTTGTCTGAACTATCTTGGTTATCCTGACAAGTGACACTCTCCACACCACCTCTTTCGATATTCCTTGTTCTTCCTGAAGAACCACCTCTACCTCCCTTGCCTCGTCTTCCACCTATTCCTCCCATGCCTCGTCTGCCACCTCTTCCACCTAAACCGCTGAAGGACAACCCGTCCTGTCCGTCCTGTCCGTCTTGTCCATCTTGACCATCCAAACCATTTCCTCTGTTGAGAATTTCTTGGTTGTATTCCTGTTCACCTAAACAAACAATTTACAAACTAAGATTTTTTTAACCGCCTTCTAATATTTATTCTATGTTCTTAAATATAAAGCAAGGCATCTACGAACCACTTCTTTCAAAAGATTTTTTAAAAATATATTAATAAATACAATAATGCCATTTATTGAATTTCATACACTGATACTGTACATATTATTTTCCTGAAGTTAAATCTTTCTGCAGGAAATTTATACGATTGCAGTACACTGACTCATTTGTTACCATCCTGTATTGCTTCAGGATGATGTTATTCCTGGCTGTTACCCTGTATCATCTTGTTTAGAAAGACGTTATTCTTGACTGAAACTCTGTAGCAACATGTACTGTTTCAGGGTAAAGCATATTGTATTTTTTCATGATAATGTTATTTCTGACTGGTCAGGGTACCCTGTGGCATATTGTGTTGTTTCAGGATTATATATTGTTCTTACTGTTACCCTCTAGCATCATGTATTGTTTCAGGATAATGTTATATTCTTGATGTCTACCCTGTGCGCTAATAGATTAATATTCAGTCCAGAGTGTCAGTCGCGTACAAAACATTTGTTGCTGATCGTAAGAATCCACAATTTATCCAATATACAACTGAAGTAAAAACCCAAAAAACAAGAATGCTTAGTAAAAATAGGACATCCGGTAAAGGGCGGTATTGCAACATTTATAAAATAATTTCTCTACCCTTGCGAACCTTTTACCCAATGAGTTACCATGCGAATGATTTAAACTCATATAGTTTCTACTCACATGCTCTTCTGCAACGTTCTAATGAAAAGAAATTATTTCTGTTTCCACGGCAACCACCATAGATAAATTCTTCACAACTTCCGGTTTCCTGGTTGAAATAATATCGTATTTTACTCGCACGACATACTCCAATTTCTTTAGGTTGAAAACATCGGCGCCTCCCTATACAATGAGAATAAACAAATTTTGAACCTTGATGAACATAACTGTAACAGTAAGATCGATCGGACGATTTGTCAGTAATTATTTCTAATTAATGAATCAATGCTCTTTCGAATAATTTGAAATCGAGTTTAATCGACTGTCAATTAAGTATCTACGAAAGAAAATAAAGTCGTCGTAATATTCTCGGGCTTGCAATGCTCGGCAGCATTCTTATAAGTATGGACAACTACACCCCTCTCCTCAAACCTTTGACCAGCCCTCCTGAATTAGATCAATAATAAAATTGTATATATGTTCCAGACCATATGAGTATTTGGACCGTACGCGTACGGTCTGGACCGTATGCGTACTTTTTCAAAATACACATACGCGTACGGTCTGCCTAATTTTAAGATGTTGGTCAAGTTTATTAGATACAAATGTATATTACAGATCAACATAACGGAAATCTCTAATCAATTTAAAAAGTTTAATTGTAAATGAAATAAAAACTAAATATTTTAACTATTTAAAAAAGTCACGCTAATTTAATCTGTTAAGCTCCTGTATTTAGCATGTCAGTAATGCATGAGATTTAATTATGCTCACTGAAATTGAAGTTATCGGAAGTAAACATAATGTTGGTAGGAACATTACTACAAAAAACGTCAAAGATATTGGAAAAAAACTATAAAAAAAAATCCGTCGAAAATATAATGAGAAAATATAATAAAAACGTGTCGAAAACTAATGCAAAGAATGAAAAAGGTAGCTTTGTCACTCTAATAATACCAGTTGTTGGTAGGATCTTTCCTGATTATTATGTACAGCTGATGATATATTTCACTTTATTCGTCTAATTGTAATAATATTAATTTGTAATTTCAATAAAAGATTTTGATAAATGTTTGTCTAAAATTAACCCATATGGTCCAAATACATATATGGTCCAGTTCGTCCTAGACCGTATAAGTATACTCGTGTGGTCTGACCGTACGCGTATGGTCGGACCGTACGAGTATACGCATACGGTCCAAATACTCATATGGTCTGGAACATATACACGGTTTGCTATTTTGAATTGTAAAGGTGTGCATGATTGTGTAAACATGTTCATCTGTAAATGAGATAATGAATACATACGTCTCACTTGTTGACCAGAAACACAGACCAAACAAATGATGAGCAAAATCTGAACTACTATATATGTCTTCATGCTTCCAGTTACATCAACAATAATAAATTATTCATAATTTATGACAAAGATGATGAACGTAGTTTATAAGTATGAAAAATAAACCACTTAAATTGTCATTTCTAAGTGGATAGTGTAGTGTTTTAGTAGTTTCTATACGTAGACTAGTTTATAATACAATTGTACATTAACTGATGTCCCATTGAGCTCACCACATCTCCTTTTATTCCGTGTGTGACTACAGGAAGACACTATCATATTCAACTATTACGAACTTGTACATAATATAACAGAGTCTGACAATCATTTGTCGTAGAGTATTTTGAGTGGTAAGTGCCCTTAGAACTAACTTACAGATCATTAACCAAAGTCAACCTGATAATAACAATGGATTAGCGTTAAAAGGAGCTACCATTTGATTTTTATGGGGGTGGGGGGTAGGATGAAATATAACAAAAAAGGCAGTACAGGAGTTTTGAGTAAAAAAAAGGCAGGATGACAATTTTTGTAAACTGATAATAAATTGCTTCGCCGAGCGCAGCTGGATACGACCGCAGAGGTCCAACCCTGAACAGTTGGGGCAAAAATGGGCACAATATTCGCGCTTGATACAGGTCTGAATTTGGATTGTAATTAATAGGTTTCTGACACAGAATAACTGTAGTCAAAGAACTTAGAATTTGTTATATGATTTGAATTTATATTCAATTTTTTGCTTTTGTGCAATACACTATGCTGTTGCGAATTGCCCCCCCAAACCCCCCCTTTTTTTTTTGCAATAAAAAAAATATTTGAAGAAATTTTCTTTTTAATTTCTGAAATCTGAAATGAGAAAAAATTGTCCCCCCCTCACAATTTCTTTTTTAACCCCCCCCCCCCCCCCCCTTTTCCCCAACAAGTTCTTTCCCTCAAGATATGGTCATAATCTCAATTCAAATTTCTAATGGAGTTTGCAACCATAATTTCCCATTTAAATACATCATAAAAGTCTTAAAATAGAAAATGACATACATAATCATGGCTAAAATTAATATTCCTTAATCAGCATTTTTAAATAGTAACTTCTAAAATTAAATTGACAGCTAATCACCTCGAGACAATACAACATTTCTTTATACATAATTTAAAAGCAGTGTAAGGGAGGTAATCCAAACATAACATTGTAATTTTTATTTAATTGTCCATTTACCAGGAAACCCTTGTTTTTACCCCTTTTTTGCCCCTATTTCCTAAACGGTTTGAACCATAACCCCCCCCCCCCTCCCCCCCCCCCCCCCCCAAAGCCAATCCTAACCATCCCTTTGTGGTATGGAATAATTTAAAAGAGATCCATACACCGTTCAACAAGTTATTGTCTGATAACTAGAAAAATGCTTATTTGGGCCCCTTTTTGGCCCCTAATTCCTAAACTGTTAGGACTATATCCCAAAAAAATCAATCCCAATCTTCCTTTTGTGGGTTTAAACCTTGTGTTTAAATTTCATAGATTTCTATTTACATTTACTAAAGTTATTGTCCGGAAACCAAATGTCTTCGGACGACGCTGACGACGAGACGACGTGATACCAATATACGACCGCAAAACGTATAAAAAAGGCAGGACCGAATAGAGTAAAAAATAAAAAAGGCAGGACAGAGATTACAACTAAAAAAAAAAACAGGACAAACTTTTTCATCCTTTTTTTGTGTTTAAAAGAAACCATAGGTAAGTCACTGTCTTATACCTTTTAAATTAGTTTGTTACCTGCATATAGATAGATATCGTTAGACATTGATTAACATGTGTTTTCTGACAAAAAGAGTTCTCTGGTTTTTCCCCATAGGGTTCTATGTTGAACTGTTGTGCACATTGACAGCCAACCTGTTCCAAACACTGAAAATAGCAGTGTCTTTTATTTAATATTGAGTTTTAATTTTCAAGACTGTCATGGACACTACTTTAAATCAGTGCCGACCTTTCATAAATTTTATTTAGCTAGACATTGCTTTCAATATCAAATCTACATATTGGCCAACGTACTATGAGGGCTACATGTATATAATATGTACATTCCTGTAAATAAATTTTGTGCATGTGCAACGTTACATTGGAGGATTTCCATTCAACATTTTAACTTTGAAATAACTTCTATGTGAATACATTAACATTTTTAATCAAAGTGCTTGTAAGCACAGAAGGATATACTAGTAGATTGCTTTAAGTTATCAGTGGGAAGTAAAATTAAACATTGCATTGTATAAAGCATTGGCTGTAGTTGATTCAACTACAATTATGGACAAAGGAAGATAACTCCAATTTTAATGATTACTTTAACAATGACATCATTGATATTTTAAGAACAATTACTAGATTCCTGCACCTTGCACAAGTTATGTAATTGTCTTGACCAGTATAACATCATTTTGTAACTTGAATATCTGAGCATATATTTCATTGATAAATTTCTGGAAATGTTCATGGATAGGATGTATAGAATGTTATGTTTAATGCACTATATTTTGTGTATCTCAAAAGTAGTGATTAACCTTAGAAGATTTAGATATCAAGTCAGTACCATAGGGTTTTGATTGCATTTCATGCAATCTTTAACCAAAAATGATCTGTTAAGGGAAAACAGCTAGCTGGGTGTGCACCAACGCTGGAGAGATTTACGTAAAGAAGCGGACGATTGGAAGTATTGCCAAATGATTCCGATAAAATAAGTTCCAAAATTTGATTTTGGATAGCAGCAAAAACTCAAAATTAGAAGAGGACCACATTAGGTGCATCTCTGCATGGTGTGATTTTAGTATGCGAGATGGTGTCCGAGAACCTGCGTGCATGTAATATGTGTATGGTTCTATTTATGTTCCTTTGAGGTGGTAATTTCTTACTTGGGTTTGTCCACATAAAACTGAAAATTTGTTCAGGATCTTCCCAGTATCATTAGTAAAAGATTTTGTTTAAATGTGGAAATTGTTTCTATGAAGATATATTATGGTTTTAAGTAACGATAATATACCAGATATGGCAGATTCCAATACAGATGCTCATAACTCCTACAAACTGATTAAAATTGTTTTAGATATGAACAGGATTGACGGACAAAAGGATTAAAACAATTTATTTATACTTACTAACATTACCGGTATGTATAAGTGAATGATCATTTACACTAAGGACTCATCAGCAGGCAGCACAGATGTTTAACAAGTGGAGAATGTGTCCCCATGGACACAGATGATGCCCCCACTTGCATACAACATTATAAAGGGACATAACTCAAGAACAATAAAAGTGACGCCACCAAAATTCAAACTTGATCTGTGTTTTGTGGTAATAAGCAAGTTTGATAACATTTAGTTTAGGCAAACTTAAGTTAGAGAACGGAAACCAATTTTGGGACGTACGGAGGTACGTACGTACAAATGTACGTACGGACAGACAGACAAGGGTAAAACTTAATGCCCCCTCCGCTTCCGCGGGGGCATAAAAAAGTTTTACAAAACCACCTAGCATCATATTGTTAGTAGCACGAGTAGCATTGTTTGATAAATTTGTGCTTTTTTATTTTGCTTCTGGACAAAAAATGTTTGGTTCAAGTGTAAATAAATGCTTTAATCTCCCCTTAAATACTTACATTGAATGGATGGTACAACTCCTTGGGCTGACAGTTTTAATCATCTTACCTTGCAGCAGATCATGTGCAGATGTGTGTTGTCTGTCAAATCTTTGTTTCACAAAGAATGCATTTGCATAACAATGAACTGAGCTCAAAGCAAAGCACTTTAATAATACACTTGGACAAAAAGCTCAATCCAGTGATATACTGTCATGAACATTCACCCTTCATAACCACCTCTATGATCTAACAAACATGCCAAACATGGACCAAACGTCTTGAAAAAAGACATGTATTGTTTTATATTATATGTACGTATACGTATCCCTGCACTAATTAATAATATTAGCTGAGTGCCCCTCTTTTTGAAATAAAAACATACTTCCACCTAATCATTGTAAACAGGTGAACAAACATTAAAACTATAAAATGTTATCAGACTTATCTATCAGTGTCCATTTACCATCACAAATGAATCAATAAATATACATATATGAAGACTCGGATTGACTTCCAGTCTCTAACCAACCCCCATTCCTGAAGTCGACATCCAAATATGATGTCATAATGAAATAAGATTTCAAATCTACACTGTATGACCAATTATATATCCATGAAATAGACATCTTTTTTGTTGTTCTCAAATAAATGTCCCAATAGTATTTGATTACGGAAGCGTATTGGCGCCACACAACTTTTTTTTAATATTTCTTCCTATGTTTGCAAACATAGGAAGAAATATTAAAAAATAAAGTTGTGTGGCGCTAATACGCTTCCGTATTGGATTCTCTAATTGATGTCTTTTTTACAGACTAGCCACAATGAAATCAAAGTTTTTTAAAATGTTAGGTTGAACCTAATACTAAAAAAGTTGTGAAAGATATAATATTTTAAATCTTGCAAATGCATGTAATAATACATTTCAGCAATTGGCTGTACTTTTAGTTTTTTATTTTGTCTATTGTTTGAGATTGTGTATTGACATCTAGACGTCTTTCAATTATCTTTGACAGTGGGTTGTTTTCTTATTGTTGTACATGTATATTAATAATAATCCTCATGGCATTTATTTAAATGAATATGAAAGGAATATGACAAAGTAGATCGAGAGGATGAACTTCTTACACCAAAATATTAATATGCATGTACAAATACATGTAATCTTTAAGATGATGTTGATGGTGGTCTTATTGTAATTTTCTGAGGTTTATCCTTTTAATTTTAAGCTGTAACATGCCTAAGATTTAATGTCAATAGACCATGACAACCATGACTAAGGGGGTTGACCAACTAATCCCCATGGATGAGATGTTGTAATTCTGATACATGTACACAACACACCAAACATTATTGACTTACCAGTACAAATGTACAAATGTACTGGTTCCTCACAAACTGAACTAATCAGATTCAGCATATAACAGAGCTCCACATAAGAATTCACAAATTGGGGGTTTTACCC